CTTGACCAATTTACCTTGTTGTTTTGGGCCATTGGAGTATTCCTATCTCCACTTCTCAGAAGTTGTATACACCTCCACCATTGTCCCTCTCCATGCATATGAAGTACAATCAGTTGATTGTAGCACAAATGCGCCGAAAGAAAAGGACACGTTTTTCAACCCAGTATCATGTAATAGACACCTCTGTGTCCATTTCACGTTTGCCTCTCACTAGCGACTTCGTGGCTTTAAAAGTCTCCTCCTGCTGGTAATGCAGCTTCTACATGTGTGCCCATTTTACACTACGAAGGAGAAAAGCATGATGAACACAGTGGACTGGAGTGCCTATTTCACACTTTGCTGTAAGACTGAGTTGCATTTTTTGTTTGTTTGTTTGTCTCCGCCCAGCACGCAGATAACTGAAGAACCTTTGGAAGAATTTCAGTGTAAGGACATTTAACTACACATTTAATCCCTGGCATATGTTAATATAAGATTTAAAAAATGCAATAGTTTTTCCCAGTTCAGGTTTTCTTTAGTTTTGTTTTGCCATCCCTGCCTTGTGTTCTGTTGTTTACAATAAACCTCACTTGCATCTTAGTAAGTGCCTGCATTTGAGTCCACTTTCCCACACATCGCACGACTGCTGCCGCAGCCTTGACATACTTAACTACTTTAGTGTAGTGTGACTGGCTTTGGGGAGTTTAATAAGCTGAAAAGCTATAAATAAATAATACATTTATTTAAAAAGCCAAAAATGTATGCCTTCCATCATATTTTCCAAAGCTGTCCAGCGGACCAGATTGGGTCTCTCTGCTGTGCCGATTCTGGCCCCTGGGCCTTATGTTTGACATCCCTGATCTAGGCTTAGCAGCATGATTTGACTTATGGTTGGCCTAATAGTGAGTAAATGGTTCAATAGACAGAATGAAGGGCAATTGAAATCATTTCACAATTACCCCCCCCCCCCAAAAAGAAATAAGAAGTAGAATATATGTCAACATAGATTGCTGTCAGCTTCATCACATCACAGTGGGTAATTAGGAGACTACAGGTTGTTGTGTCTCAGAATATTCGTTTCTGGTAGTACGACACCAAACAAGTTAAACTTTCTAAAGTACCTTGTTCCTCGTTTAGTTTTTTCAACAACTGTTACACCCTTAAGTCAGTTTCCTGTGTCAATCACAGACAGTGTTTAAAACGAAACAACAACAACAAAAAAGTGTACACAAGACTGGAATCTAAGGGGTTGTAACTGTGTGTTTGCATGGGCGCTTTCAGCTTAAGGTGAAGGTGAAGAGAGTAAGCTCGAACTGCAGGGCCCTGCACTACGAGGCGAGTTGAGCATACTCAGGCCATCTGTCCGTCAGACCGCTGACAGTCAAGATTAGCAGTCATACAAAGCTGGTTACAAACTTGCTAAAGTAAACCAGGGTTTTCCCCTGCATGTTCACAGGAAGTAGGCATGGTTTGGGTATCATCTGACCGGTTCACTGGTCACATGACTCTCTATGAGTGCCACCTACTCGAGAGACTCTATCAGATGCTGATAAAATGGTTATCAACATAAAAGAAGAAGACAAAAAATTGAACTTTTCTAAGGAAAAAAAAATGTATATAAAACCTAGAAACTTTAAACTTATGCATTAAAGCTTACTCCCATGCACCATGGTCAAGGAGCTGCTGCAGTCTGTCTGCAGATCAAGTGAAGTTATTCCCCTGACTGAACAGGTAGTCTAAGATTGTGCTCTATGTTCTAGTCTTTGCAGTTCCAGTAGTGTAAAAGAGACCTAACAGCAGATTAGAATCAAGCGTGCAACATTTGCACACTTTCTGCATCACCAACTGAATGTGTGTAATTCCTGTAAGAATGTGATGCATAGTTTGCGCTTCGGTCAGTGGTTTTAGTACGTTCGCTTTAACAACTTGCACCTATGAAACGCGTTGACCCTGCAGAGAATCGGTAATGCACTTTAATAATGCTGAACAAAAAAATGTGGCGTTTTTAAACTAAACTTTGTAACATCAGCTGCTCCCTGTTCTTCTCTGAGCTGCAGACTCGGTGCAGTTTAAGGGTTTGAGAGTAAAGATTAAACTGCAGTGTCTGTATAGAATAATGTTTAGAATAATAACACTGCTGTAAAGTTATTTTACTGACCACAGAAAGCAAACAAACAAAAAAGATTAAAGAACCAAGAATGGCGACGCTATTTTCTGAAGTATTGATTTCATACCTGTTGATATCTAATCTGCTTCACGGCACAAGTTACCATGGTGATATGTTCCTTTAAGAAGTGAATCACTTCTGTAGTTCAGCAAACCCAGTGTTTATCCTGAAGTTAGCTGGATAATTCTGGTTCGTAATCCAGGCATCAGGAAGCAGAGAAATCCGGGGAAAACTGAGAGCACATTAGGGGAGAATCACAGATGCTATGACAAAGGACCAAGAGGAGTTTCTGCCTATAGTAATGGGCAAGTGGAGACTAGTAGGGAATGACGCACAACAACAGGGACAAACAAAAACAATGAAGGCATTTAGTCCCTATCAGAGTCCAGAAGATAAAACAGACAACAGTTCACACGCACCATATTTGGTCTATTATGCACTATTACATTTGATACCCACCTGCGATAAAGCCTGTCTGACTGGAGAACACAGTGATGTAAGGAGGGAAAACGAGATAAACGCACTCAGTCGCAAAAGAGTGAAATTACAGGCTAAAAACGCAGAATCGACATCATTAGAGTTTACAGGGCACAGCTACTCTCACTCATACAGAAGACTGTTTACACACTGCGGCAGTCTTGATACATTTATGTAAACTCACAAGACGCAACAGTGCATATGTCAACATGGAGAAAAAAAGGGCTCCGCTTATGAGGGCAGGAAAATGCCTGCACAAAAACTCTGGATTTAAAGTATGAATTAGGCCAAACACTTGTAACCAGGGCATCTGGTGATATAAACTATAATTCAATTCAATTCAATTCAATTCAATTCAATTCAATTCAATTCAATTCAATTCAATTCAAGTGAGTTTAATTCAACACCAGTCACCTCAAAGCACTTTATATTTTGAGGCAGATACTCTACAATAATATCATAAAAACAAGAAAAGAAGAA